TGTAGAAGAATCACAGCCGATGTTATAGGAGTGATAAAAGCATTAGGAATCACCACTTTGCATTCCTAATGAAAATAATGCCTGACCTGCAGATTTGGGGATTCACTAGCTTCCACAGCCCCATGCGCCAGCAGCCTGCCGTCTGACCTGCTGATTTGGGGTTCGTCAGCTCCTGCAACCACGTGAGTTAGGAGAAGCCTCCAGCCTGATGCCTGCCCCACAGATTTTGGGACTTGCCAGCCTGCACAACTGTGTGAGCCGTTTCCTTGAATTAAATCTCACTCTATATATTTACATATATATACATTTCACTGGTTTTGCCCCTTTAGAGAACCCAGCCTAAGACAACCTGGTTAAGAACCACTGATCCAATGATTATCAATGGCTGCTAAGGTATTAGAAGAAAGGTAAACTTTATGATGGATAGATCAGGCTGACAATACATGAATTCAGAGATGAATTCAAACATTACTAGGAGGGGACTGTGATGATTAATGTTATATGTCAACTTGGCTAGGCAATGATTTTCAGTGGTTTGGCAGATACTATGTAATCCCTTTTCATTTTGTGATCCGATGTGAACAGCGAATCAGTCGAAGGGAGAGTTTCCTTGGGGGTGCAGCTTGCCTCCAGTGTATAAATGGGTATTCCAGCAAGGTTTGCTCTCTTTCTCCACCCTGCACTCTTCTCTTTACCTGACCTCCGGTTCCTGGGACGTAAGCCTGCAGAAGTCTCTGGCCTGCTGCCTGACCTGCAGATTTTGGATTCGCCAACCCAGGGAACCCTGTAAACCAGCAGTGGCCTCCAGCCTGACCTGCAAATTTTGGGTTTGTCAGCCCCTGCAAGCACGTGAGCCAGCAAAGGTCTTCAGCCTGTTACCTGACCCACGACTCTGGGACTTGCCAATTGCCACAATTGCCTGAGCCATTTCCTCACAATTGCGCAAGTCACTTCCCTGAAGTAAATTTCTCTGTATATGTATCTATATACACTCACTGGTTTTTCTCCTCTAGAGAACTCAGGCTAAGACAGGGGCCAACCAAACATTATGTGCCTCATGATGAAGCAACAGAAGGAAGTACACAACACCAGCTATGAAGGATTCTTGCCAAAGAAAACATTAAACCTGGCTCTAATAAAGCCTCTATCTAGATGTGGATCCAGGATTGTGGGAACCTATTTAAGAAAAATTTCAAACAATTAAGATATTTAAGAAAAATTTCAAATAAAAAATTAGGTATAGGGGCCTGTAAATGTGAAGGCCTGAAAATTACGCTTCATTATTTTCACCGTAAATCCTCCCTGGCTGTAGATGTACCTCCCCATTTACAGGAAATATCAGAGACAGAGGAGTATGTTAAATAACACATGAAGATATGTAGAATTAGCCAAATGCAGAATGTGGAAAATGCTTTTGGCCAAATGACCCAGTTTCTTCCATAAATAAATGGTATCAACAACAACAAAAAAAAAAAAAAAGGGAAGGGAATTGTTACAGATTAAAAGAGATTTGAGAAATATCGGCATTCCAAAAAAAAGAGGTATTAATGAAATGCAGTAAGTAGACATTATCTGAACTCTGATTTAAACAGTCTAAATCAGTAAAACCCTCGAAAGCCAGAACCTGTGTAAGGCGGAAACTTGTCAGAGAAGGAAAATGCAAACATTTTCCACTAAAACAAGCAGTAGTAAAGTGGTAAGACTGCTCTTGTCAAAGGTGGAAAACTTGCGAGACCTGGAAAAACAAGGCAGCCCCATCGAGTTCCAGCTCTCACAGGTTTCACTGTATAAAAAAGTTTTTTTGAGACAATGAGGGGAAACTGAACACATACCAAGTATTAGATGATATTTTTTTAAATTACTTTTAATTTTGTTGGGTGTGATAATGGTACTTTTTCAAGTCCTTATCTGTTAGAGACACATACTGAAGTATTTATAGATGAAATGATATGATGTCCAAAATTTTCTTTAAAATACTTCAGAAAAAAAAATGCACAGAGAGACAGATGAAACAAGAATGGCAGAAAATTGATCATTCTTGAAAGCAAATAATGAGTATATAAAGGTTCATATAACTATTCTCTCTACTTTTATTTGTGTTTGGAAATTTCCTTAATAAAAACCTAACAATATACAAGATTGTTAATAGGAGCAATGTTGGGCAGGGGGAGTGGGCAGATGAGAACTCTCTATATTCTGTACACATTTTTTTCTGTAAACCTAAAACTGCTCTAAAAAAGTCTTTTTTTTAAAAAAAAAGTTAGGAACAAAGTTTTAACCTTCCTTTATTCTAATTCCATGTCCACTAAGAAACTTTCTAGTCTGATTTTTATCTTCCTCTGTATTACAAAAACTATATGTTATGACTAGGGAATATAGACATACCCCATGACCCAACTCATTCCTAGTTTTCCTCCGACCTCCCTTCTCGTCAATTTCCTTAGCCCAGATTTTTCAGTCCCATCTTCCACCAGTTTGTTCAAAGAATGAAGGAGAAGGATGAGGCAGAGAAGTTGAGAAGCAGAGGTGGGCAAGAGCCAGCAGAGAGGTCAAGTAAACTACAGCTGAAGAGTGTCCTCAACTAGATTTGGATACCCACTGCCATCGAGTTGATTCCAACTGATAGCAAAGTGGCAGGTTGGCTGCTGAATGCGGCTAGAAATTGTGATTTGTTGTCTGTTCTGTGAGACAAAAGTTGAGTTAAATTGTTAGTATTTAAAAATCAGGAGATTTCATACCAAAATCTAAATCAGAAACTCTGGCAGCACTGGGCTTGCCTTCCTCACCAAAGAACTGCTGCTGCTCAGGGACATTGGCCTTAAAATGCTTCTTCTTTAAATGTCACAGGACACTTGCCTTTGGTTCAATCCCAGCTCTTATGGGATAAACAGGTAGCAGCATGCAGAACGATAATATGACCACGTCTTCTGTGTGTGTTTGTTTCTAGCAGGGAGGGCACACAAGAGCAAGCAATGGGGACCCTACATGCACCTCTCAACGGCCCACTGGGGTTACTAAGCCTGGTTTTATTCCACTGAACGTCTCTACCGTACTCCCAAGCCCAAATCACTTACAGGCCAGTGCAGACACACGCATCCTAGCTATGAAACAAAGGAGAGTAAGAACACATGAATTATGGTGACTGTATTTTCCAAATCCTCACCGAGGGAACAGTGAGTAAACTGAGATTACAAATCGAGCAAGAAGACAACCAGGTGATAGGGGGTGGGGATATGAAAATGAAAAAGACTCCCAAGTCTTGCCCTTGAAGAGCATAGTGAGCGAAAATTTGGTATTGAGACGGTTGTTGCTATTTCCCAGATCTCTCTCCCATCACTTCTTTCATCCTCTTCAATGAGAGTATTTCTTGTCAGGAGCTATAACAACCATCTTCTGACAAGTTTCCCTACTGTGACTCTTGTCTACTTGAAATCATTTACAGTACAGCCAGAGTAATTTTTTTTTTAACCTGTAAATTCTTCAGTATGTATCTCTGAGGACTTAAAAAAATCCCACAATACCATAATCACATGCAACAAAATCAATGATACCTTAATATCACATAACCATTAAAAAACCGTTGCCATCCAGTCAATTCTGACTCATAGCGACCCTATGGGAAATAGAAGAACTGCCCTAAGGGTTTCCGAGGAGTGGCTAGTGGATTGGAACTGCTGACCTTCTAATTAGCAGCAGAGCTAGCTCTTAACCACTGCACCACCAGGGCTCCTATTATATAATACCTATGTCCATATTAAAGCCCCCCATTGTCTCAAAAATGGCATTTTCTTAGTGGTTGGTTTGAATCACAATCAAAATAAGGCTCACACATTCCATTCGGTTGCTCTGTCTCTTAAACCTCTTTTAATCCGTAACAATCCTTCCTTCCCCCGTTTTGCCATTTATTTGTTGAAGAAATTGTATTATTTGGCCTACAGAATTTCTCAAATTTCTGAATTTGGTTTAGTCCTCCTGGTATCATTTGAAATGCTCCTTCAACTCCTGTATTTCCCATAGTTAAACCAAAAGGCTTGACTAGTTTTAGGTTTTTAGGGGAGTGGGGCAAGAATACTTCATAGGTGATGTTGTGTACTTCTACTGCACTTCTTCTGCATCACGTCATGAGGCAGGCACATCTGGTTGCCCTCTCAGGGATGTTCAAAATCATTACTAAGTTGAGGTGTTGTCAGCCTGATCCCTCCAGTACTGTATAAAATTCTGTCATCAAACGTTCACCTATTGGTTGTCTAGATTTATTGTTTCATTATGGTTGCAAAATGGTGGGTTCAGAGTACTCATTTTAAACAGTTAAATCCTGGCAGTCATACCACAGGTGTTTAAACTCTTCAGCAGTTTGAATAAAGTGTCAATTCCTTACAACGTCCTTCAAAGGCATCTGTGTAATCTGCCCCCCACCCCCACCCCATCCTGTCCACTTTCCCCTCAGCTGTTGCATTCCCTTGGCACAGGTCTTTTTCTGGGAACGTCTCAGAATCTGTCATCTTGTATTTATTTGTTGGTGGTCACCTCAGCTTGGGTGGGAAGGGCGTCTGGGGTTCTAGATTTTATTCACTAATAAACTGTCAGCCCTCGCCCAGTAAATGGAACACGGTCAGCATACAGTAAATATCTGTTGAACTTATTGTTAGCTGTTGCCCCAGAAAGTCAACATGTATTCTCACTCATAATGGCACAGACGCGACGCTACAGGGAGCGAGCTCTGACTGGAGAAGTCTAGAGACTGCAGGGACGACGCACATCCGTCTGCTTGGCTTCAAACTGGTTTCCAGACGGGCCGTCCGCCGGCCTTTACGCTCAGAGGACCGGGCCACTACCTCACATGGGCTCAGGGACAGACGGCATGACCGAAGCCGCGGCGCACGGCGTACTTCTGTCACCGCTCATTCATCCCACGCCCCCTCCAGCGTTTGCGCGTTGCAACAGAGCGGCCCCGGCGCAGGCGCGCTGGGCGGAGCGGCCGGCGCAGGCGCGCTGGGCGGAGCGGCCGGAACGATGGCAGGTGTCGCTGCCCGGCGGCTGCCTGAGATGGGGCTGTCCGCGCTGCTGATGCTGGCGCTGTGCGCGGCCGGTGCGCGGGCGCTGTACTTCCACATCGGCGAGACCGAGAAGCGCTGCTTCATCGAGGAGATACCTGATGAGACTATGGTCATCGGTCAGGCGGGCGTGAGGGTGGAGAGGGCCCTTCTTTCCCTCCTCCCCTGTAGCGGCGCCCCTTCCTCCCCGCTCGGGGCCGGCCGCGTCACGGTGCTTCCCGGAGACTTGGCCTGTTGCTCCCTGTCCAGCGCACCTGACGGTGCCCTGAGGAAATCAGACCAGCGGGCCGTCTGACCTAGCTGGGCTCGCCGGCCCCAGCAGGGCCCGCTGCCCGGCGCCTCGAGGAGCCGCTCGAATCCGCCTCAGCTGTACACACCTTGAGTGTAGGGAGCCGGGTGGATAAGGTGGCTTGGCGGGTTGTGATTGGTCTGTCTGCTCTACAGGGAATTATCGCACCCAAATGTGGGATAAGCAAAAAGAGGTCTTCCTGCCCTCAACCCCTGGCCTAGGGATGCATGTGGAAGTGAAGGACCCTGAAGGGAAGGTAAGGGCTCCATAGCGCTGGCACGGGTGACTTGGAGACAACATCACACCTTTCTTAAATAGAGGGATGTGGGATATCAAGAACTGGCTTTAGCACTGAGTTGAGGCCTCAGGGGACATGGTAGTATCAGTCCAGATACACTTTAAGGTGGATACTTTGAGCGGTCAGGGTAAAGGTGAGGGCAGTTGGTTGGGTGAGGTTGTCACTGACTGCTGTGTTACAGGTGGTGCTGTCCCGGCAGTATGGCTCAGAGGGCCGCTTCACTTTCACTTCCCACACTCCTGGTGACCATAAGATCTGCCTGCACTCCAACTCTACCAGGATGGCTCTCTTTGCTGGTGGCAAACTGGTAAGAGAATTTTCTCTTTGGCTGCAGCTTGGACTCTCTCACTTGTTTCCAAACTTTTGATTTATTGCCATCATCACATGTGATACTTTTTGGCACAGTCACTGCTGTGGAGACAGATGATGGCCCTCTGTCCCACATCCAGGAACAAGAGTTGGTTACAATGAGCCTGCCTTCTAGCCTGAACAGACAGTGGAAGCCTCACCATTCAGATACCATAATGTCAAAGTGTTCCTGACCTTATTGCTTTTGGTCGCCAATGTTGTGTTTTCATCTAGCGTGTGCACCTAGACATCCAGGTTGGGGAACATGCCAATAACTACCCTGAGATTGCTGCCAAGGATAAACTGACAGAGCTGCAGCTCCGAGCCCGCCAGTTGCTTGATCAGGTGGAGCAGATCCAGAAGGAGCAGGATTACCAGCGGGTAAGGGCATATCTCTTTGTACTTTGAGATGGCAGTTGACCTTCATACCCACTAGACCTACCTGAAGTTTCTGCTTGGTGCCTTCCCCATTTAGGAGATCAGCTCTTTAGAGAATGGAAGGTAGGGTACCAGTCCAGATAGTCATTTTTAAGCTCTAAAGAAAATGAAGGCCTTAGTAAAGAGAGGACAGTTCATAATTGAGTAATAGCCATTGCCTCACCTGTTTTCCTTGGATCTTGTTTGAAATGGTAGGAGCATGCTTGTGGAATGATAGTCAGTCTCAGTGGGGAAACAGTGGCACACCTAGTGGATTCACAGGCAGTATTCCAGAAGGCATTTGGTCCTGGAGTTAAGCAGTATTACAAGAGGGAGGTACCTCACAACAGCTTGGGACTGTTTCTCCTCCACGTTTAATCTGTGTCCATTGCCCCATGCAGTATCGTGAAGAACGCTTCCGTCTGACCAGCGAGAGTACCAACCAGAGGGTCCTGTGGTGGTCCATTGCTCAGACTGTCATCCTCATTCTCACTGGCATCTGGCAAATGCGTCACCTCAAGAGTTTCTTTGAGGCCAAGAAGCTGGTGTAATCCTCTCTTTCCATGTGACCCTTCCCTTTCACCTCAGTACCATGCCCACCAAATACCTTATCCACCTGGATTCTGAGGGGAAAAAGATGAAGAAAAAAAAAAATACATAAGCCACATTGGTTTCATGGCAACAACCATTCAGATCAGCCCCTTGTTAACACTAGTTCTCAAGGACAGGGGACATTGGTCAAAGATTTCAAATGCTGTTCTAGGATTTGTGAAGAGTCTGAACTGACCCAGGACTAAGTCTTGCTTCTTGTATGTCCAGTGATTTCCCTTTGTCCTTTCACAAAATGAACAAACAAAACATCTCCTCTTCTACTGTGTTCATCTACTTATGCAGTAGGTGACTGGAAGGCCCTACCAAGAAGGCCCCTGCCTCACTACTCCCTAGTCAGTCCTGGGTTCACTCAGTTGCTTTGTAAATGTAAATAAGGGGCAGGTCTTTGGCCCCAGAGGATTGAGTTTTTTTCTATATATTAGAACTATTTTTTGATAAATTATATATTTTCCTTCCTAGTTGAAATGTTACTGCCTGTGTGTGAATAGCTGCAAACACCAATGCAGTCCCTTCTGCATTATGTTTATCCACACGTTTTCAGTAACTACCATAGCAGCTCAGTTCAGTGGTCCATGGGCCAGAAAGCAGACATCGCAGCTGCTTGCAATGCCTTATCAGAGAACCAATCAGAGCATTCTCTTGGACACCTGTGATTTCCATCACATAGCACCTCAGAGTATAAGAGGTAAGGTGGTGACAATTTAGAGCTAGTAGAAGACTGCATTCTTTATCCTCTTGTTTCCCTTAAATTTTATTTAAGGTGTAACTGTTTTCTTCCTGGGAACCACATTTGGTTCTTTATACAGATTTTTCCAGTGAAATAAAATTTGTTGTAGTAGCTGTGTTTGAAATGAAATCAGAGGTTGTGGGCAGAGGGGAGGCATGAGGGAAAATGAGGAAAGGCTCCTGGCTGGGACTGCCTCTGAGGATGACCTGCTGTGGACCTATGTGTAGACTCGTGGGCTAGGATTGGTCTGAACAGGCCAGTCTTGTGGCGGTATGGAATGGAGTGGTTGCTCAGCTATTCACAAAGGTCAACCAAGTAGGCACATCAGCAAGGAATTGTGTGAGGAAATTAAGTACCTGGTTTCTTAGCCCCAGGAATCATAAATCTGAATAGATTATAGTACACTTTCTTGTGCCCTTATGCTGTTTAAAACTTAATACCGTTAGTTGCTGATTCTCGATAATTTATATTTTTATTTATTAAAGAAAAATGTTCACCTAAATTCTTCCCCTCCCATTTTTAGTTCTCTTTATGTCTTATACTATTCCTTGTATATAGTCATCCATAATGTCCATTTGGGCGACGTCTGGTCCCACGAGGGCCCTCGGGGTGATGCCCACAGCACCCCTGCTGCTGGGAGGAGTGGGCACCCAATTCTGCTCCCAAGCACCCACAATCAGCAGGCATCTCAGGGCCTAGCAGGGGTAGGAGTGCCAGGTCACATAGACCACTCCCCTGGTGCCCCAGCCCCTGCCCAGAGCCTCTCTGCTGTGATCTTCATGGGGCTGCAGGGCCAAGTACTCACCTGAGGCATCTGCAGCAGGCGCTACCTGGGCTGGGAGCCGCACAACAGCCCTTGGACCCCAGGTGGCCAGGAGCCCCGTGGCCTGCAGCTCCACAGAATGTATCGTGGACGTTATGCGACACATTACTGTATATGTGTTTTTACTTATATATGAAATTTAGTTTTATGGTTAATATTTTTGTAAGCGTTTAAAAAATTCTCTGTATTCTTCATATTTCTAATTCTGAATGGCTCTGTAACATTGCAGTGAGGGGAAATGCCATAATTAACTTACCTAAAATTATATATTTAGACTCTGTTATTCCAACTAATTATTACTCAGTTCATTATTACTAATCAATAGAGTAACTATAAATATATTAATTACTAATAATCTATTAGGAGCCCTGGTGGCACAGTGGTTAAGCGTTCAGCTGCTAGCCAAAAGGTTGGAAGTTCGAATCCACCAGCTGCTCCTTGGAAACCCTATGGGGCAGTTCTGCTCTGTCCTATAGGGTTGCTGTGAGTTGGAATTGACTTGACGGCAACGGGTTTGGTTTGGTTATTAGTGTAATTATTAATATTAATCTATTTATTGAATATCTTACTATTTGTATGAATATTTATAATATTTAAAATGGTTTCCAATTGTTTTCACATTAGAATTAACACAGGGAAAACAGATGACCCTTTGAACTAGTTTGATGTAGACCTCTGACCTGAGGCTCTTGGGAAGTATGGTACATGCTGGGAAGAGAACAGACATTTCTGCTTTGTGGCTGCTCCTAGAAACCTCAGCGTCATAACAGAGAGACAAGCCTGAGCTGTGGCAGGACAGGAAACTACAGATAAGGCCTGGAGTGGGCTTAGGTTTGCCCAGCAGCTAACAGTTGAATGCTTCTCAATCGTGCCAGTAGGTCAGTATGTTCTGGGTTTCTCCAACTGGTAATTTTTGACAGGAGGGGGGTGGAGTTAGGACAAAGGTGGGAGTGCATCACACCTTTGTACGGATGGGGCAGATGGAATGGGGTGGTCAGAGGATGAGTCAACGGCAAGCAGCTGGTGGCTGTGGGGAGAACAAGGAATACGGTGTCATAATCACAGATATATTGTGGCCTAAAGCGTTTTGTTTTTTTTTTAAAGAGAAGGTAGGTACACCCAGGGAATTCTGATGGTTTCCCCTCCCCACCCCCACCCCAAAGCTTGTGCTTGACTGCTAACCTAAAGGTTAGCGGTTCAAACCCATGCAGCGGTACCACAAAAGAAAAGGCCTGCCTATTTGCTTCGGTTAAGATTATAGCCAAGAAAATCCTATGGAGCAGTTCTCCTCTGTAACACATGGTCACCATGAGTCAGAATTGACTCAACAGAACTAACAACATCAATGCTGCCCTTGATTCCATCCTGAAATCCTTCCTTCCTTAGGCAAGACAACATCAAACAGCCTCCTGCCCCCTTTACCATGTACAGAAAAAAGGTGTGTGTTGTGGGGGCAGGGGTCATTCTTTACATCTTCTATCATCATTAGGGCTTGTAGTATCCAAGCTTGACTTTATCATGTTTAGTCCCAAGCCTAACTTTCCTGTGGTACATGAGCTGCTTTCTTATTCTTAATCTAACAACAGCCAGCCTGGCCTGTGGTACTCAGATGCTGGGCCCATGTCAGACCAGACACATAGGATCACCCAGGAAGCTTCTCAGCAGAGATTCCTGGGCAATACTCAGGTCCTGTCTAATTTAGATGGTTTGGGTTTAGGGTAGTGTGGTAGGCAGAATAATGGCCCCCCAAAGATGTCCATGTTCTAATCCTTGGAACCTTGGAATATATTACCTAATGTGGCAAAGGGGAATTAAAGTTGCAGATGGAATTAAGGTTGTTAATCAGCCAGGGCCAGGTCATCTCATCCCCATTCAGCTGGGGTCTTGTCAGCTATGCCCCATTTAATCAGGGTCAGCTCATCCCTAGGCCCTGTGGGCTAGGTCAACAGATACCAGCCATAGGATCAGCAATCCACAGGACTGCCAGCACTTCAGATCAGCCAGCCCCTTCTCTCATCATTAGCCACGTGGGGCTAGGTCAGTGGGTGCCAAAGAAACACATCCAAACTCAGCCCATCTCTTGCACCTTCCTCACTTCCACTTATCTCATGGACCCAGGTGGTCACCTCAAGCAAGCATACCAGCCTGGCTATCTACTCGCTGGCTCCCCTTAACTTCCAGTCCTGGAAGGGGGTTCTTCTGATGGACACTGACATTTCCTGCCTCAGTGCATCCAGCAGTTTGCCCACAGTTCAAAAAGCAAAACTAATCTTTTTTTTTTTTTTGCTTCTCCCAGCAGTTCTGGGTGGATCTGCATGTCTTTCAAATGCAAATTTTCTGCTCTTGAGTTTCTGGGTAGGGCTCAGGTGTTCCACCTAAGTCCCTTATACTCTATACACAGGGCTATTGTATTGAAATGAAACCTGTGTTTCTTTTGGGCAAATCTTAGTTCCCCTTTTAGCATATCCAATCAAGTACTGGCTGAAAGTAGAGTTACACGCTCTTTATTTTTTACAATACCCAGTATTCATTTCAGAGCCCTGGTGGCATAGTGTTTGAGAACTTGGCTGCTAAACAAAAGGTCAGCAGTTTGAATCCACCAGCTGCTCCTTGGAAACCTTATGGAGGCAGTTCTGCTCTGTCCTTACAGGGTCTCTATGAGTCGGAATTGACTCGAAAACAATGGGTTAATAATATTCATTTCAATCACACATTTAGGTCTGTTTACACCAGATAGGATAAACATAGTACATTCAGATAAACACATAAATCTTCTTTAACATTCCAGTTTCATCTTCACCCCCTGACTAATTTCCCATTCATATGCATATGGCCTTGGGCTTCTGGCTGGGTGGAACCAGAAGATGCTGGCCCTCTGTCAATCATCTTGCTTAACCTGCTGGGCTTTCACCCCAAGCCCCTTCAGATGTGGCTTTCCTCTCCTCAGTTTCCCTATCTGCTGCTCCAGCATAACATCCCTTATTTTTAGCTATTAAAGATAACCGAAGTAACCATGCAAGAATCAAAAGTTTTACTCCACACACCCTTTTATCCTTTCTCTTCCAAAATCGCATGCTTCCATGAGTCAAGAGCCATTGCCACGAATCCCACTTCTGACACCAATTGTAATGCAGTAGCAGTAGTGTCAAACCTCGTCTAATTTCAGAGAGAATGAGAATCAGCATCAGCCCAAAGCTGATTCCTATGAGGTGATGGTCTGACACACCTCCACTCTCCAACCTTTTTTGCCAATTGACATCAGCCATCCTCCCCATGACAGTCTCTACTTCTCTGATAGGTTCAGTAATTCATTGCAATGGCCACACGCAACTCACAGACCATACTCACAGTTATATGGTTTATTGGTAAAGTAATATGGGATCAGGATCAACTTGGAAATAACAGGAATAACTCAGGGTAGAGTTCTTTGATTAGGACAGCTTTTTCTTGGCTGCTGCCACCAGGCCCTCACCCTTGGCCTGGGCCCTGCACACGCAGGCCTGGCCTCTAC